CTGGAGCCACAGTATGTCTGTTTCATATGCTCACTGGCCAAAACGACAATTTACAAAAGGAGTAACTGGGACACTGCTACCCAAGAACCAGACAACTTTGTTCCAACTGTGCTTGCCAAGAGAAACCCCAGAACTTTCTGCCTTCTGAAGTGGTTAGTGGGACCTACATCATCTCATCTAGAACACTGGCTACAGCAGGGTTTTTACCCCTCCATCCTCAGCAGCTCAGGAAAGCACAGTAGAATGGAGTAGGTGTTGGTGGCAATGACATTTACCAGGCTGGGAGTTGAGATCTAACTTCTCTTTGAATTCAAATATTTGGTAAGGTGAGACAGGTTGCTTATTTTCATGAGTCTACTTTGGAAAATTCCTATCTTCTTTAGTCTGGAGTTGGGCAGACTGACCCTTAGGAGCTGGTAAGATGAAACTTGAGAGTTTTAGCATATTATCAACAAATACATTATATATATTTATTTTTTTAATCTAGTGACTCGTATTGGCTGTTCATATAATAGAAAAGTTAGACCTCTAAATATTTTTATGTGAAATTGATAGAACTATAGTCTGTAGAGGCCCATTTTCTATTCATTATGTATTTTATATTTAATAGTTACACAATACAAAAATCAATGTATTTTCAAGCCACCCACAGGTCAGTCATTAATGATACATTCTGCCTTCAAAGTTTGATTTATCTCATATCTTGGGCTAAATTAAGGCTTTTGATAATTTTTTAACATATATATATATATACACATATATATTTTCTTAGATATATGTAGCTGGTAGCCTACCAAGGGAAGATCTGACACTAAAACAGTTTTCTGTACATCCCAGCAAGATGTGGATCAAGAAGACAAAACTGTAATGTGAGAAGGCAGTTCTGCTCAGGCTGGTGTTTTGCCCCAAATCTTTGTTGTGAGTGTGGAGTGTGGAGTAGGTTAGAAGTCAGGTCATAGAGAATTTTGGATCTCTTCTATAATTGGGCTTTCACAGAGTGAATGTATTATTTTTCCAATATGTATTATTTTTCCAATATAATAAAACAAAACCATCACAAAGGTTACTATTAAGAGGTACTCAGAGCCAAACAAATTATTTTTGGGTTCTCCTTTTTGAGTATTTGATCTTTTCACAATTTTTACTTAGTGCCGATGTCAAATGACCATATGTTTATTTTAACAGAAGTGTGAAAAGAAAGCAAACATTTTTTGCTTTATCAATAACGTAAAAAACACTAAGTTTTAAAAATTACATTTTAGAATACTGTGTGGAATTCCTGTTAAGAGAGAAAACGAAGACTATGCCTGTGTCCCTCTGGTGCCACCAGAGACACCTTCTGAATTGGCACAAGGAACTATGCAATATGTTCACAACCTGCAACTCTCAGGAGAGGAGGTAAGAACTTTCTTCAGTATTACTTTTATCTACCTCATATGTTCTCAAACATTTTGGATTATGACTCTCCTGACACTCTTAAAATTACTGAGGTTGTAATAATGGTTTATTTGAGCTACCTATATTGACATTTACAATATTAGAAATTTAAACAAAATGCCCAAATATTTATTTTTAAAATAGTAGTAATAAAGTCATTTGTTAATATAAAAATGTATTTTTTATGAGAAATAATTATGTTTTTAAAAACAAAAAACATAGTGAAAAACTAGGATTATTTACTTACTTCGAAAATTTCTTTGCTGTCTGCCTTTATAGAAGACAGCTGGATTCTCAAGTCTACTTCTGTGTACAATTCTGTGGCTGGTTTGATTGAAATAATATGAGAACAATTCTAGTTTTTAAACAGATATGTAGTTGAAAAAGAAAAAAATACCTTAATACCATTTTGTACATAATTTTAAGATATTCTTTAATATATCCAAATTTAAGAAGCAGTAGTTATCTTGAGAGTTTGCTATGAGACTTCCACTTCTGAGTAAGGTAGGGTAGAATCAGTTTTCCCTCTTCTTCCTGCCCATTACAGGTCAAAAACCTGGGCAT